CCTGTTGTCTCACACAAGAGTTTCTTCGCATATTTCCGCGTTTAATGCAGCCTAGCACAACAAATATTAGCTCTATAGAAGCTCACAGTTTTTAAAACAAATTGGTCCGGCATGTTGATAAGAATCGACGAAATGACCTCCTTCCCTCAGGCCGTACTTTCTCGAGTTCGGAAATAAAGAACGATATCTGTCGACCTATCGCATTTCAGGGCTCGACAACTCAACGAATCTGGTGTACGTGCGGTAGGGAAAGCAGTCGAAGTTCCCCTTTCACTGCCCTGCAACTGAATATTGACGGATTTAAGACGCTGCAGGAAGTGTTGGATGCATATTTTGGAGAAGAGCTGTAGGTTTTATCAACGGGTTTTCGTATCTGAGAAAGTGCATCTGCATTTGCCACTGTTTTAGCCTGGAGGATTACCTGTGTGATGAATGTGGACGAAGGGGTCATGTTAAACGGCAAACACTCCCAGAAAAGTTGCCACCGGTTGTCATGTTGCAGCTGAATCGATACGTCTTTGATGTGTAAGAGGGCTTCGTATTTGTTGTATGAACTTCTGAAGGGGTAATGATTCAAAGGTTTATCTTTTTCAGAAATGGCAGAAATCGTAAGTTGAAAACGCCAATAATTTATCCACGAGAGTTGTCCGCACGATCGTTCCACTTGAATGTTTCAAAATGTATGTTTTATTTGTTGTAGATAAATGTTTTTTCATCTTTGGGTATGATTCCATTTGCAGATGATGATTTTGACTACGAACTTTTTGCTGTTATGATCCACGAAGGAGACAACACCTATTGTGGTCATTATTATGATCTTGTACGGCATCCATTCACAGGGATTTGGTACAAGTACAATGATGAGGTACGTGGTTGGCTTTGGTGCTTTACAAGGCCGTTTGTGGTAGGGGTGGTTCTTGAGTTTCATTTCCTGATCCTTAATATTTGTTCCAAAAAAACGTCGAGTCTCCTATGACTGGTGAAACTTGATACTAAAGCTAATATTATAAGGCCCTGTTTCATTTTCAAAGGTGAATAGGTTTGATATTTCAAATGTGAGAGAGTATTGCGCTAGTGAAACGCTCCAGGATTGCTGCGTGATTTTCTCATGGGTCTTGAAAGAAGTCTAAAAAGAATGAACTTTGATCCCAGCGAGCTACCAGAAACAAAATGGAGTTTTTGACGGAGTTTTGGAGTCAAAATGAAGCTTTCGGTGTTCTGTTTCCTTTTTGGGATGTGCCTTCTTTTTCCTGATAAAGTCGTACTGCCCTTGAATGTTCACTGTATTTACACACTGTGGTATTTTCAATGCTGAATTAAAGCTCTTTATTTACTTCGTTTGTGTCGGAGTTAGAGATGCTTTCTGATTTGTTCTTCTTTCAGCATGTGGAACCGTTAGCTCGACCACCAGGCGTTGATCGAAGTAAGACAATACCAGGTGGACGCCCAACTCCCGACATGAAGGCATGCTACGGACTTGCATATCGAAGAAAAGAGCCTGCTATACCAGAGATAATCATGCCACCTGATGACATCACGGAAACATGGATTGTTGCGGTGAGTTCGTCTGTTTTTTATTTATCTACTTCATTTTTTCTTAGAGTATGGAAACGCGCTTTGATTTTCGCTTTCAATTATGAAAAATTTTGATGATGGACAGTTCTGTCTTCAGCTTTAATTTATGGTTATTCTGCAGTTTTTTTTTCGAGTCAGGGTTTGTTCTGCCGTTGGGGAAAACTGCGGCAAAATGCGACCCCCTCCTTAAAATTTCTTTACTGGTTGAATTCTCTTCGTTATCTTTTATCCTACCTACCATGTTCCTAAACTTCCCAGTTTTCCAGCTTACTTCTTTCCCTTTTTGGGTAATGCTGTTGAGCCGCGGAAGGGAAGGGGAGGGGAGGAGGACGTGAGAGTCAACGGCTCACGCAGGGGAAACTGGGGAAAAGTCAACAACCAAAAATTTTATATCAGAGGCTCTCCCCAGCGGCCTGTTACGGCCCCCTTCGCGGAGCACCTCCAACTTACGACGTGTCCTGCTCTAAGTTCCACTGGTTCCGGCCCGTTATGACTTACACGCGCAGTCATGAATTTTCACCAAGCGTTTCATGTGGATTTCTTCGCATTTCTTACGTTTCAAAAAAGCGCTAGAACACATTCTCAAGCAGCAACGCGCTGAAACCTGTTGTCCACAAGCCACCCCCCCCCCACCCTCCCCACGATACATAATTATGCTGCTTTTGTTTTCAGCTATTACCAGCTATTAACCTTTTTGGCATCAGTAAATATTATATTCGCTAAAAATGTTCACACTTTCCGTTATAGACGGAACATAGGTTCGATGGGCAGACAAAAGAAACCATAGCAAAGAGTGAGAAACGTTTAAACGATCTGACGTTACGGTACAGTCAATTAAGCGCTCTCTTCGAAGCACTCGAGGTAAGGGTTTTGATGGTGCTTCTTTTCGCTCCTTTTGCTTCCACCGATAGTAAATCGCTGCGTGACAGTGTGAACCTTAACAAACCCTGCCTGGATTTCAGACTAATGCGGATAGATACAAAACTCCAAAAGACGTGGCTTTCCTTCCAACAAAGATGCTGAGCGACATTCTTGAAAAAGAATACGTTTCCATGGCTGCAGTGGATGAGAAAAATGAGGTGAAGCTGACAAATTTATTGGATGATTACTAGTTCTCCTAGTTGCGTCGCCCAAAAGTGCACTTATTTTTCAGGAACCGTCAGCAGAATCACCCATGGGTCAAAATAGTATGTCAGAAGAACCCACAGTGATTCTACCTTCAAAGCGGTTAGTTCAAAGTTGAAATATATGATTGCTTGCCGAAGTGACGCCCCAGAAATAAGAAGCTGCTAATCTATCGCTTTAAGAGCCATGCGCACCTCAAGGTTACGGACAGTGCGTCATAAGATTGCTGGTCAGCTTGCTCCGCAGGAGATGCCCGTTTGCCATCATGGTCGTCTTTTCGTGGATTCGGTGCGTTCAGCTTCTGGCCATTATTCTTTTCTACGGTTCTGCTGCTCATCTACCGTTCCATTTGCATATTTACGCTACTCTGATGACTTTTTCTTCCTCTCCAGGTTCTCTTCGGTGATGTGAAAGCCGTATCTCGAGTGACTGCGGAGTCCCTTCTTTCCCAATATGGCATCACGACAAAGATTAAATACGATAGCGATGCTTCCGAGAACTCTCATCCACTTCTGACCGGGTGAGTAATATTTTTAAGGCCTAGTTTAATCACTATGTAAGATTTGTCCGGTCTTGTACGCTGCGGCTGATGGGACGTGTCAAGGGGTATGGGCTTGGCAACAGCTCGTCTTGTTCTTTTTTTTGGCATTGCAAGACTATCATATGGTTGGTATCGGTCAGTTTTCACCAGTTATCTGCTCCAAGAAGGACGAAGAACGGGCCAGTGTCGCGTAGAACCCAGCCAAAACCCAACGACACGCCTTTCCATCCGCAGAGAACAAGACTGTGCTCTGTTTCTCCTACTTTTCAATTACAAATAGTGTAAAGGGCGTGCCTGAAATAGAAAATTACCAGTCCGGAAGCAATCCCCCTCCATCATCCAAATACGAGCATACTTTCTAGGTGTGACATTTGTGTTGACTGCGTAAAGGAATTGAGGAGAGAAGGCCAATTTCGAGACAGTCTAGAGGGCCATGTCAAATTAGCCAATCGCATTTTTAAGGACAAAAGCAGGTGAATTGATAGTGTTTCACTAATCCATCCCTGCTGTTTAACTCTAGCTTTGCTGCTTATTGTTCTGTACTTGTTTGTGTCGTTTTGTGGTTGTGGTTGTGCGCTCTAACCGCTTTCTGACTGCTTTTTTTCTCACAGAAAGCCCTTTGCTTACTGCCAGCTCTTGGACAGGTGTTCCTTGTCTCGCGTGCCGAAACCAGAAGGCTATCTGTACATATCGAAGAAGTGCCTCGCCAATTTCAAGAAGTTGGCTTTGCGTGAGATGGAGCATCAACACAGACTACAATCAGCTGGAGCCACTTTGCAGTTTGTAGTCAATCTAGCAGCGGTATGTGTTTGGATAATTCTTTTCAAGCTTACCGAAGAGCGCAACCAATCTGCTGAGATAGGATTTCTCCAGTCGAAAATGTTGTTTCGTGTGAGTTTGAACTTTGGAATTTGCTTTTGTGAAAGGTGGATTTGAAGGTCGATGCTAAGTACTCTGCTAGTGCGAGTTCACCGCGTCGTGGAAGAGGTGCGCGACGGAAACGGTTGATGGCAAAGAGCGAAGACGGATCGCCTTCTTGCAATGGATGTGACAGACCATTAAAACATGCTAAAGATGATGACAGTACCGTTACATCCAACTGTGATGAACAAACTCCACCAGGATCGGTAGAAGTCAAGGAGGAAAATGAGGCGGAGAGTGGATTAACGTCGGTAAGAGTTTGATAAGATTTGGCTCAGCGCTTTATTTGCGATCAGTAAGAGTTTGATAAGATTTGGCTCAGCGCTTCATTTGCGATCAGTAAGAGTTTGATAAGATTTGGCTCAGCGCTTTATTTGCGATCAGTAAGAGTTTGATAAGATTTGGCTCAGCGCTTTATTTGCGATCAGTAAGAGTTTGATAAGATTTGGCTCAGCGCTTCATTTGCGATCAGTAAGAGTTTGATAAGATTTGGCTCAGCGCTTTATTTGCGAATCAACCTTGGGCAGCCATTCGAAGCCAGCATGTAGCATCGTCGGGAGAATTCCATAAGTGGGTCGTGGGGAGAGGTGATCGTATTTGGTCAATCGGAGTCGTACCTAGTCTTTAGAAAACCGCGGTGAAAAATTTTCCCCTTGTGACTTTTAGCAAACTTTCCCGTTTCGTTTAAGTTCTATATACCCCTCCCTCCCTGCCGTCGGGGCAGGCACATCGTTGTTGGGGAATCCCCAATAGGGGGGGGTCGTATTTGGGCTGGGAAAAATTTATTTTGATAGTTGATTTTTCTCGCTTCACGGACGTTGTAAAGGGGGGGGGGTCGTATTTACGTTTTGGCGTTGTAGGAGTGGTGGTTGACTTTTGGTGATTTTCCTGTTTCATGCGTACTATATACCCCCCCCCGCTCGACGGCTCGATTCGATGAGGAGGACAGAGGGCCGGGGGGGGGTCACATACCAACCTCCGAAAAAAAGGGAGGGTCGTACGGACTCCAGTAAAACCACAGCCTATAATGCGCCCTGGTCGGGGAGTCTCCAAATTCATGGACTGCTACTTTCGATAGCTGGAATTAGTAGATGTTTGATAGATCTCTCCCCCTTCCTCCCCGATCGACTGCAGTGAACTGATCTGGAATTTAACCCAGGTTGGCGCGTGTAGTGGATGGCCACTTGCTCGAAACAACTTCTACCCATGACTTTGAGACGCACCACAAGTGCCTTAAATAGCTGGTCTCTTTTCTTTAGTGGAATCGCACCCACGCACCTTTTGAACCCTGACCATTGAGTTGTACTTTTTTTGTTCTTTCTACGACCATCACCAAAGGTGCAGAACTGTAGCATGTTATCGGCTTTGATTTCCAAGAAACTTTTATTGGTCATTCAACCGGAATTTTAGGTCGATGGAACGTCCTACAGTGCAGTGGAGGAGGAAACGAAATGCGCAGCCGTGGTAGGTTACTCAAAGTAATTGTGAATTTGGCTACCTAGCAGAGTTATAAGTGGTGGTGTAACTTCAGGACGAAGTGATGCCTTCATCATCCGAATCGGAAGAGAAGCCTTTGCCTGTGGTTAATTATTGTTTCCGTGCAATGCGCGTCAAAAAATCGCCGCTCATTATTTTTCCACTTGCTTTAGGATTTTGTAGTTGGTACGTAGTTACAGTTTCAGCGGCTACAGGTAATCCGGATGTAAATAGAAGACGAATTCACGAATTCGAATTCCGGCCTCGGGGCTTATTCGGAACTGAATCGCGAAATTTTGATTTGAACCCGCCCGCCGCAAGTATTCCTCCAAACCCGTCCACCAATCCATTTCTTATCGCTTGGTACTTTTGCTGTTCTTCATGCTGTTCCGTCAGGTCATTTGTGGTTCGCGCATCTTGACCATACTTTCCCATCCCACCTTTG